TTACAAAGGTGAAAAGAAATCTAACATTGCCGGATCCGCGACGTAGACTTTTTCATTTTAAACAAGCTATAAACCTAAGAACCCTGTGTCTTGTTTAGTACCAATTTGTAAGAATTTATGTTTGCCAAGCCGCCTGGAAAGTCATTAAATGAGACATACACAAAAGGACCTTTTGTAAATACACTCGGATCAAACGAGACAAACAGATGATAACAACTTTAACGCTATTAATCTCGTAGGCGACGAGGAAGACTAGAGGTAAAACTGGCTTTTCCTTATCGTGTATCTACACAGATTTGCTAAACAGGCACAAAAAACGCACCAAAAAAAGCGGTCCAGTCGTCAGTACAAATGTTAGCAGTTGCCTTATGATGGCGATGTTCAAAATATGATAAACAAGATCAACAAGGAAAGGCGGCGTTCAATGAACGCAATGTGTACTTTCAAAGCCATGTGTACTTTAAAACTGTTTTTCCTTCACTGTAAAACATAAAGTATTTAAGTACGCCTATTAAAAAATGACAGGGTTAAACTACTGAAGTGCAAAGTAACAACGATAGTGCATGCACGTACAAACTATGTAATGAGTGTTGATTGCGATTTATGAATTTCGGAGGCGGTGTGGGAGGGGGTGTCTCTTGTAATCTGTATTGATGTGATTTAAACTTAATTGACCACTTAGATGTATACATGCATGATACATCCATTGAATTGATAAATTCTGTAAATTAAACAAGGAATAACAATATATTCAAAAACTACCCAGCAACACAGAAACATTGATCAAGCACCCTGCAGGTCAAATGAACTAAAATATGGAGATCAAAAAGGACGGGCGGCATTCCGTGAACCCATTCTCCAACACAGGACCACCGGAAAGGAACCCAGCAGTACACCAAACAGGAAATGGCTAATGGGCAGAAGGGGCGGGCAGTGGGAGGACGTACCAAATACTACTGATGAAATGTTATATAAAAGGTTTCTGTACCAGTCAATGGAAGCCTTCTTCTCACTTCCCCTCGGAGCGTGCACGTCGCTGAGAAGGCACAGGGCATCGGCAGAAGATTTACAGCTTGGCTGGTAGCAAACACAACTCAACTAAATAGAAGCCCCCCGTAGGCTGTAACAACGGGATCGCTACTTCGTCAACAACTGCGGACCAGCTGCCGGTGTCCTGACTAATGCCGAGGGGAGTGGCCCTACAAAGTAGGCTGAGACGACGAGGATGGTGTGCTAGGGTGCGTGAGCCCCTAGTACAGATAGACGGCTTGTAAGGCAGGCCTTTTGCTGGCACCAACAGCCCTTTTAAGGGCTAACCTTTCATATTGTCACAGGTTACTGTACATTTAGGTTCTCATTGACCGCCGTACAGTGACCTACTTTTGGCTCAAAATTCATATCTTTGGCTAATACTCCGTGGAAATTGCATGGAGGTAAATTATCACCACTTTGTGCTTCAAAATTAACTCTTTAAGGGCATGTCTTGTGACATGTCCGGGGTCCGTAATCGACAGCGAAAGCTGCATTTTGTGCCCGAAAGGGCGGATGGACCCTCATTAAGCATTAACTACATACATACAATGGAAGCCTTGTCGCCTAACGATCCATTCCTAGGGAAGTTCAGGGACAATTAATTAGCAGTGGTTTAATTTTCCGTCTTTTACCGCACTTCTTAGGAGGCGTGGACGGTAGCTTGCAATAACCAACCCCTATTTCCTACAATTTTCTCACCTTGCCGTTTAGGTGTTTTCTAGGGAAAATAACATAAAAATAATATAAATAAAAAATAAAACTTTGATTGGCACAATGCCAGCTTTTCTATGTTTTAGCAACTGTAAAAGACATCCATATTTTTATATGTATACTTAGCTCGAAAATTTTGTAAAACCGAAACCGGTAGATAATTAAATGACTCAACCTGCACTGCTGTTGACGTGTTGTATTTCTTCATTTCTTAATTATTTTGATATATTATTCATTATTTAGCGTTAATATCATTTTATTTCACTCGTACAATAAATTCATGAAACTGTAATGCTTTCCCGCCAAAAAAGTCTAACATTGTCCAATATCGTGGCAAATCGGTTATTTCCGGAACGTTATTATTTTTATCGAAAAATAGGGCATTGAATTATTTACAATCACTCATCCTTTATCGCTATGTATTAGATTCTGGTAATAAACGGTTAAAAATTATTGAATACCGAAGCTTGTGAAAAATACCGTTCCGGAAATGGCCGATTTATAACGATATAGGCCGATGTCAGAAACTTTTTGGCGGGAAAGAATAACAGTAATACTACCTTAAGAATCATACAACCATTTGTCATCTTTTATGTATAACTTGCAAACAAAATATGAGCCGCGCCATGACAAAACCAACATAATGGATTTGCGACCAGCATGGATCCAGACTAGCCTCAGCATCCGCGCAGTCTGATCAGGATCCATGCTGTTCGCTTACAAACCCTATTACAAGTAGAGAATCTGATAGCGAACAGCGTGGATCCTGATCAGATTACGCAAATGCGCAGGCTGGTCTGGATCCATGCTGGTCGCAAACCCACTATGTTGGTTTTGTCATGACACGGCTCATTTTATAATCGTGTTAAAATCATATTTAAGTCAAATAAAGTTTGTGATCCAAAATATTTCATTCAAATAGAGTACGCAATTGGAAACGTTTAAAGTGACATTATGCTCATATTTTCATAGTCAAGTTGAGCTGAATTAACATTATATTTCAAAAGATTGACTGTCAAAATGGTTGATATTCGAAAATGCTTAGGATAAAATTATATATTTGCCTAAAATTTAAAAAGACTGCCTCACCACTATTTTTATAAGGTAAATTTTTATGGATATTTATAGAAATTTCGTTTGGATCTTTGCGTTATTCATTGTTTATGCGAACTTAATTATTAAATTAAATGGAATTATGGCAAAATGAAAACTTATTTTGATCTTCACCCGTTCACTCACTATATACCCTTGGATGGGCATAATGTCACTTTAAGCTTGCGATTTAAAGAGAGACAAAGGCAAACCTTTTTATTTTTTGTTTTGAATTTTTCATTCATTATGGACCTTTATGGTGTTTTATTTTAACAAAAGTTAACCTTTTATTGTTTTTGAATTAATGGACCTTTCACAGGAGAGCAAAACTTTTCTTCAGATAAAGAATAATATGGTGGTTTCCTAACTTGACCCACATGGGCCAGGTTAGAGCGTTTCACAATAGTTGTCACAATGAACTCTTGAAACGTTAAAGAACATGTCAAACGAATGGCTTAGACTTACTTCAATCGTATTATACTTTTCATTCCAATGGTTTGTTAAGTCACATGACTTGTTTAAAAACTACTCGGTGATTCTGTCGTTCAACTTATATAGATATATTTACGCTTCAAACGAAAAATGTATAGAGTTTTTACAGAAATGCATGCATGTTGCATGGGCCTTTAAAACATGTCATTTTAGCGTGATTTGAGTATATAAGATCATTTTAAAGCTACATGCCTCAAGATGATTTAAATTTTTTCAATAAAATCAAACTTGAGAAAAATGTACTCAGATGTAAGGAAAAGTAAAATTCAAAATTCAGGTATTAATTTACATGTTATATGCGATTAAGGACTGATTTTTCAGTATTTACAACTATATTTCTACTGCGTTACTAACGCAGTAAAGGCTATGTATACATTACAAGGTTTGTACAGTGTCTATTTTAGGATTCGAAAAACGGGGGATTTTTTTTTATCGAAAAGCGAGAGTTTATTACATTAGTTGATCTTTTTCCTTCTTCCTCTATGTAAAATCCCCCCCTGCCTCTGAAAAAGGGGGGGGGATTCTTAAAAAAATGAATGAATCCCCTCATCACCCCCCCCCCCCACTCCTAGAATACACACTGTTTGTAAGTGTCATTGATAATGTGTAAATTGCTTCCTTTCGGTTACTTCACACTATTATAAATTCAAATACATTATCAAAATACTCATGAAAATTAGCATGAATCATGAGGCGTGTTGCTGTAATATTTTATTCATTAAATTGACTGAGTATCCGTCATATTATGTTGTATGCTATTATAAACGCTTCAATCAAATACATTAATATACGTAATATCAAATTTAGTCAAATGATGTACGCGATTAGGGACGTTTCGTTTAACTTATTTATCTTAGACCAATAATCTCTTACTCATTGACAAAAGGGAAATAATGCTTTATATACTATTCACGTCGACAATATAGAATTACCTTTCCTGAAACGTTTGTGATGACCTATTACTTACTGACAAAAGGGAAATACTATATATGTAAACAATTTAGAATTACCTTTCCTGAAACTTTTTCCACACTATGATCTATAATAAAGACTGACGGAAAGGGCCGAACAGTTGCGATTGCTACTATTAATACTTTTTTCATTATTTTGTGTTCACACCGTATAACCGGCACAGAACTAAAATCCATGACAGGTAAATTGTAAGAATTCCTATGTTGACAGTTTTTCGCATAAACTGCCAGCAATAACTGTTATTTAAAGTGAATTTGTCTACATGTATTATGAAATGTCTGTAATAAAATTGATGATTATGCCGAAAGTATATAGAACAAACCATTAAAGAATTGTAATATTACATGTGTATTTATATAGTAATTTAATCAGATAACATTTAACGGTTATGTTGTGACATTCAACAGTATGGGAAAATGGTGCGACACTTAACGTCATCATTGCGACATTAAAAGGCAAAATATTGTGTGACATAAAGCGGCGGTTGCGACATTTAGCGGTAATAGTGCGACATTTAGTGGAAAGTGTGACATTTAGCGTCGTTGTGACCTATTATAGTAATTGAAGTTATGGTTAATGGGCTTTAATGGGTTTAGTTCTCATTTTACCTTTTAATGATGGAAAACGCCGAATCTTCACGAATGACTGATCCGCATATAGATTATTATATAAAAAAATACATAAGCAGAAACGACTTTTTTATAATTATATTTTTTAATGAGCAAAACAATTCAAAGTATTAATTTTGTGAAAACAACATGAAATGGAAATCTGTTTTTTAACTATACGTATCTCCCAAACCATGTGTGAAATGTACAGCACCTCGGAGGGGCCATTCCTGTGAAAATGACCCAAAAAATACAACTCGTCAATGTAAATATACATTTATAATATAATACAGGTAATGTATTTGCTTAAAAGAGGCCAAAATGCCTAAAAACATATAATTTTATAATTGCTATTGAAACTCTTACGTATATCAAGTGAAACACTTAAAATGTAAACATCTGCAAAAAGATAATATAGAAAATTACTTAGAGTTAAATTGAATGTCGACTTCTGTGCGATGCTGAGCCAAATTTGAGTGAAAAGTGTTTAAACACTTCTAAATGCTGGGTCGTTTTGCACAATAATAATGGTTATTCTAGGAAAACGGGACGAGAGAATGAAATGAATAAATAGAAAATGATGATGAATAAATAAATAAATTTAAAATAAAATTTGAAAATCTCCGTGCAGTCCCTTTAAGGAAAATGAAAATTGCTAAAAATAACTTACAGATTTTTTACAAACGTCCTTGACTTAGCAAGCATCGTTACAGAGGTCATTGGTGCAGCAACCCCCATGGCAGCCTCCTTTAAAAAAGTATATATAAAAGAAAATACATGTAATTGTCAATGTCCCCCATGACCTTTAACCATTAAAAACCTATAAAGCTATATATTTTTATATTTATTTATTTTTGGGTGGGGTGCGTGTGTTTTGTTGTTGCTTTTGTTGTTGTTGTTGTTGTAGTTTTTTGGCGATTTGTTGTTTTTGTTTGTTGGTGTGTTGTTTTTTGTGTTTTTTGACAGTTTGTTGTTGTGTGTTGTTGTTTTTTTTTTGTCTTTTTCTTGGAGGGGGGGGGGGGTGGGCATTTTTCTTTTTCTTTTTTCTACTTTTTTATTAATTAATTTTTTTTCTTATTGTTTTTCTTTCTCTTTTTCTGATCGTACTTTGAGAAGGATCTTTTATAAAACTGAATGTATAAAAGAATAAAAGATGTAAATATGTAAATGTATATCAATAAATGAAAATGTCGAATGCACGTAATTATTAATGAACCATTAAAAGTCTTCTTGAAAAATATAGCAGCATTATAATAATCATATCTCCCTGGAACATTTATTTGTTTGTGTACAATATGCATATGTGTTCATTAGTAGAAACCCTCTTTCCTTCAACTTTCTCGATTCTGTTGCCATATTAACATCATAAAATATTTTTTCGTATGATTGCATGGCTAAGTGATGAATTAATCCAAGGCTTGCTTTGAATCTGTACAATGTTCACAATATAATGAATATATTGTATACATGAAACTTTCATGGCGAAAGCGGATATTGTCAAAACTAGACCTACTTTATACAACTTATTGTAATTTATTTTTATTAAACTAGAAAGCCCCATTCCTTTAATATAAACCAGATAAAAGAAATATTTGCAAACGCCCAGCGCACAGATGAGACTCTGCCGAGAAAAATTAGTCCAGGGGAGTTAACTGATACACAACTGAGTACGTAGGCATGCAGGAGTTATGTGCCCAATAGTTATGCGAGTGTTTTTTTCCGGTTCAAACGCCAATTTTAACACAGTTCTTTTGTCATATATCGGTGATCTATCCACGTAACATCCGGATAACTAACCAGTAATTACCAATTTTTTACTCAAGTGACCGACTACCAGTTCCACGTGATTTTAGAACCAGCGGTATGACATTAGTCAAAATGTCCGAGGTCAAATGTCACGAAGAAATTTCACCTTGTCACGTGATCGAATCAGCGACCCCTTGATTACTGATTCGATGCCCTTCTTATTGTTGTAAACCGAGCTTGGAATATTTTCTTTAAGTGTGGTTTTTTATCAGAACATATTATTCATCTTTGAGGGGTTTTTTGGTATTTTGTGACAGTTTCCAAAAATCTACTCATTAGCCACATAGTTAAACTAACTGGGTTTTTTTCCTTAAAGGCCCATTATGCCTCAGAAAAGCTATCATTCTTATTTCTCAGAAATTTTCTATTTGTTTTGTCCTTAAAAAAAGATAACATATCTTTGCTTCTTTTACTCTGTCGGCAATTGGTATAAATATAGTAAATTAGTACTTTTTATGGTAGCCATATACTTTTTTGTTTATATTTTGCTACCTTTACGGCACAGTTGTTAGACATCTTTTATGATCTTAATCCATAGTTGAAACACTATTAAACACATGTGTGACATTTTAAAAGAATTGAAAAATATGGATTTCTGAGACATAATGTGACTTTAAAGTGTTATTATCCCACTTAGAAGGACTTTATTGCATATAAGTTTTATATCTGAGTAAATATGGTTCGAATTTTATATGATATGGCTCGGATGTGATCTTACCGGAAACAATGTAAGATTTGTTAATTTATGTAGGCAGGTGAAGATGGTACGGCCTTGAAAAAGTGGGATTGGTGTGACTTATAAATGATATACAATATAAAAATTACGTAGGATGTTTCTACATGCGTACTTCGTCAGTAAATCGGCGGGTAGGTCGGTCGGTTGTTATCTTAACATATCAGGTGTTTATTGCTTTTAAAAATGTTCAACAGTTTAAAAAAATTTCAAGGGTTATGCATAGTTAACAGTAAACTAAGTAGCAACTCAAACTGACTGACTCTGACTGACTCACTGACTGACTCACTGACTGACTGACTCACTCACGCACCAACTCACTCACTCTCACTCACTCACTCACTCACTCACTCACTCTCACTCACTCACCAACTCACACACTCACTCATCAACTCACTCACTCACTCACTCACTCTCACTCACTCACCAACTCACACACTCACTAACTCACTCTCACTCACTCATCAACTCACTCACTCACTCACTCTCACTCACTCACCAACTCACACACTCACTAACTCACTCTCACTCACTCATCAACTCACTCACTCACTCACTCACTCACTCACTCTCACTCACTCACCAACTCACACACTCACTCATCAACTCACTAACTCACCATCTCACACACTCACTCACCAACTCACTCACTCACCAACTCACTCACTCACCAACTCACTCACTCACTCACTCACTCACTCACTACTTACCTACTTAACTAACTAACTAACTAATTATCTAGCTAACAAGTTAGCTTACTTACTAACTCATAAGTCTTATCTTGTTTAACTAGTAATTTGGTCACTTTTATTTCACCTGTTTGTAAAACAATTAGCATGATTAATAATATCTGTCATATGTTACGGTTCGGACCGGAATATCCGTCCCGAGGTGAGCCGCCCATCGGGCGGTAACGAGGCTTGCCGAGTTACCGCCCATGGGGCGGGTTACCGAGGGACGGATATTCCGATCCGAACCGCAAACATATGTCAGATATTTTTTCTTGCATATTCTACAATATTCCATTAAAATTTAAATTCTTTATCTTTATTTTCAATGGAAATTTATATCATTACAGCCGTAACTATTTTCTTACAACAGCGTATGAAATTGCAACTTCGTTCATTACGGTAAAATGACGTCATCCTAAGCGTGCCATTGTACAGCACGCGACTCATCTGGCACCCCCCATGCCAGATGAAATTTCCGGCATGGGTAAAACACACAGAAACGCCAGTCTGATATGCAAGAAAAGTAAATGTTTCTTTCTCGGAAAACATATCTTATCAGCGATTATATTTGCATGAATCTCTTGACTGGTTTTCAGTCCTGAAGTTTTTCTGTTATTTTAACAAAATATCAATAAAAAGAGCTTTTTTGTTAAGTTATATGTGCTATGTCTACATACCTCCGCCTGAATGATGACATGTCTGTAAAATATTAAAATAGTCGTGAGTTCACAATCCTGAAGTATGGTGGCTGATTTGGGCCATGTCGTATTGTCGCTCCGCTTGGCGCCGGACAAAAACACGAAAATACGATAATACGACAAAGTCAACAGTTTGTCTTACTTTCGCTCCGCGCGGCGCAAGGTATAAACACGATAATGCGACAGTCAACACTTTTTCGTATTATCGTGTTTTCGCCCAACGCCCCGCGACAAAGTCACTTTTTCGTATCTTCGCCAAGCGGGGCGCCAGCCTTTTTTTTCGGATTTTCGTGTTTTAGCCAGGCACTTCGCAGAGCAAAAATACGGCATGGCACAAATCAGCCACCATAAAATAGTAAAGAAAAATTATTAACAATTATGGTAGAATATAATATTTCTAAAATAACCATATTTCAATTGTGATGACTATGTTAGTTATATTGATAATGATGATAATGTTGATGATGATAACTGGGTTTCTGTTGATAGTTGCGCTGCTGTTGTGGATGATGGTTATGTTGCCGACGACGACATTGTTGTTGTTGTTGTTGGAACTGGTGACGATGATAATGAAGACTTATGATTGATGATTTTGATGATGATGACAATGATAATGATGATGATGAAGATGATTATGATAATGATGATATTAAGATGATGAGGATAATGAACCCGATGATGATGATGATGATGAAGATGATGATGATGATGATGATGATGATAATGATGATGATGATGATGATGTAATGATGATGATGACGACAAAAGACGAGGACCATCCTATTTATGATGATGATGAAATTTTTGAAATTTAACATTATTAAAACAACAATAGAGATAATTGAAATGATAATTATATCATTTTGTTAATTAATTATTAATTATGCTAAATGCACTTCTACCTTTTTGTAGTCAACGCTCCTAGACATTTATATCTTGGTATCGCAAAGCAAGAGGACGGGCGGGTTTGAAGATTCTGCCGTACTGACTTATAATTTTGCAGACTTGAAAACTGTGTTTTGCTTTACAACTGTTGTTGTGTGTTAACATGACTCCAAACACAGTCACCATATCTTAACATTATAGAATTGATCTTTTCAAAATATAAGAAAGAACATACCGGATTATGGATGCATCCAGATCGCCATAGCGTCTGCTGGCTAGTCCCTACCGAAGTTGTGTTAAGTGAACATGCCTATAAATAGAATAGCAGAAAAGAGTGAAATGAGCCGCGCCATGACAAAACCAACATAATGGGTTTGCGACCAGCATGGATCCAGACCAGGCTGCGCATCCGCGCAGTCTGATCAGTATTCATGCTCTTCGCTATCAGTTTCTCTATTTGTTATAGGGTTTGTAAAGGACAGCGTGGATCCTGATAAGACTGCGCGGAAGCGCAGTCTGGTCTGGATCCATGCTGGTCGCAAACGCATTACGTTGGTTTTGTCTTGCTGCGGCTCATTAATGTTCATAATAAGCACGCACAATTCTAGTATTTTCAGTATAATAAGACACGTTTTCTTTCTTTAAGTAAAGTTTCGAGGGTTTTATGTTTTTTGTGTATATTTTGGTGAATTGTTTGATTTTTTTCGCCAATCCATGATTTTCACATTTTACCTACATTGTCGGTATAATTCGTGAATTTGCGGCATTTTTCATGAAATTTGATGCATGTGTAAATCATTTGAATATAGATACTCGAACCCCAACTCACTCTTACATTCATGACGTAAATACAGACACTCGGGCAATCTCTCATTCATCCCCACACCTATTCACACCCAAAACACACACCACTAGAACACACACACACACGTGCGCATACACGCATACTAACACTCTTACACACTCAATCAATTTCTCAACTCTGTCACTCATGCGATAATTTATAATTTATGTCTGAAGTCGACGTAATACATTAAATAAAAGCATACCTCGTCACGGCCGCATACTCTTATTTTGTTGCAGTCATTCTGAGAACTTTGTTGGTCGCAGTTGAAGCATATCGGACCTCTTTGGCCAGAAGAAATTGCAACGAATTCTGAATAGAAATAAATGCCAAATGAATTAAAAAAATATCGGAATCATAAATATTAGGTCGTCGTATTGATACATCTTGTGAACTTGTTAAATTTGCTTTGGGAAATATTATCATTTGCTATTTGATTAATATGTTTATGCCAAGAAAATATTGTACAACGTGTATTTGGAAATAAATAACAACCAATGTTTCGAATTTGACCTGCACATTCACTATTTTTAAGAAGTTTTACAATGTTTACCTCCCTTGACAAAAGTGGAAGCCATTTTAGGGGTATATTTTCTATATAAAATGATCAAAATATCAAAATATGAGACTAAAACATATACAGCTGATTTTAGGAAATTGTCAAACTCGTTCATGCATATGAAAATATTATTATAACACCAAATTCAAAATATTGTTATCAGTTTTCATGAAGATGATAGAATTATGAAAGATTTTGTTTTCTTGCATATCAGACTGGCATTTCCGTGAGTTTTACCCATGCCGGAAATTTCATCTGGCATGGGGGGTGCTCAGGATGACGTCATTTTACCGTTATGAATAAAGTTGTAATTCATACGCTGTTGTAAGAAAGTAGTTACGGTTGTAATTATATAAATTTCCATTGAAATTAAAGATAAAGAATTAAAAAAATATAATGGAATATGGTAGAATATGCAAGAAAAAATATCTGACATATGTTTGCGGTTCGGATGGGAATATTCGTCCCTCGGTCACCCGCCCATGGGCGGTAACTCGGCAAGCCTCGTTACCGCCCAATGGGCGGGTCACCTCGGGACGGATATTCCGATCCGAACCGCAAAATATGACAGATATTATTATTCTTATCGTATGCATACAATACACTGGAAATGACCCCTCAACATGGCGTTCAGGGGAGGTAGTTATTGATATGTGAAAACAATCGCAACTACTCGGCCCTTTCCATCAGTCTTCGGATAAGGACCTCGAACACAATAGTATAAATACACAGAACGGATGCGGTATTTCGGTCTAACCTACGCTAAGAAACTAAACATGTAAACAAATAGTAATTTAATGCTTGGAGTTGTTGACAAGTTTATTTCCAATATATGTAGTAAAATACCACCTAAAATAAGTGAATTCATAGGTACAATAGCAAACAATACATTATTTATATATTTATTACTATAGTTGTAGAAACCGAAAGTACAAAAAACCAACCTGTTGACATTTAGTCGGATTTGTTTAAAATTGAACATCAGTGGGCATACTTAAATTGCAAACTGTTGTCGGACATATTTTCAAGCATAAGAGTACCGGGACACACATTAGATGTCAAATATATACATTCGTTTTACATTATCTCATCTGAAACCACGTGGTAGAACTACTTTCTAGATTTATTCAAAACCAAGGCATATAATATGCATAAGGTTATGATATATCAACAATATAATGAACAGTTATTCAAAAGTAATTAACAAAAAATGTAAACATAAAATTATATAATAAGAAAATCAATTTGACTAACATATAACATATGACTAGACTCTACTTTTTGGACATGATTTGTCTTATACAGAAGTTATCTAAATTGTTTCTATGTAAATACATTCATAAAGTTGAAAAATTCATGACTTACGGGAGAATGAGTTATTTTAATTTTTTCAATCCGTATTGTTTCCGAGGTTATTATAGATAATAGCCGAGGCAGTTCCGAATGATGTGAAAAGCCAATCGGAACGTCCTCGGCTATTATCCATAATAGTCCTTATCCGAAGACTGACGGAAAGGGTCGAAAAGTTTCGACTGTGTGAAAAACATATATTACCATTTTCCCCGCAGCCACCACTATTACATAAGTTAGAACTGCAGCAATCGGTGCACGTATATAATGTAGAATCTGCCGAACTATTAGATATACTCCTTGCAATTGAATCTTGTGCACGACGAGTCCGTATAAAGTCGCATTGCTGAAGTGAAAATCAAAATATATTTTAGAAATTTGTTGTTCTTGTTCATTTGTTAAAAGGAAATTACTAAGTATGGGTGTGAAATCCGGTTCAAGTTCACCTTTCATATTAAAGACCCCCCACCCTTACCTTTAGTAAAATATCCGAAATTGTCCAGAAAATCAAATCAGTTCTATATACCATACATGAACTTGATTGTAAGCAAAACTTATGAATAATTGTAACGTCAGTAGAAAAAAGGTTTTGTGACGCCCCTATAAAGCTGACGAAAAAAGGAACATGCAAAAATTAATATTTCTACCTATAAATAGTCTTGCTGACTTTTAGAAACCATTTCCTGTGTGGAATCCCGTTTCCGCCATCGACTTAACGCGAACATTAGAAACTATCAAATGAATGTAATTTCTAAGTGTATCGTCTAAAATTTAAGTAATTTATAGATATACAAGTTAACATTACTTTATATATGGTTGTTGAAACCGGAAGTACAAATTGTACACCTGTTAACTTTTATTCGGGTTTGGTCATATTGTACATCAGTGAGCATTTTTAAAATTTATTATAATTGTCTAACATATTTTTTCAATAATGATTGTATCAAGATAAACTTTAATTTTACATGGGATGTCAAATATATACATTTGTTATACATTATACTAGGACTACACTAGGTTACGTGGTAGAAGTATCAAGTCCCAAACTCCTCACAGTGATAACCTCCCTTGGCAGGATAGTAATCACTGCCTTCACAGACGTAACATGAAAGTCACATGACGTAACGTCGAAATTCAAATGTGCATAGAAAATCTAAGGTCATCTTTCTCTTTAACTTTTTTGTGCCTACGCTGATCTCGTTAAACAGGGTCACATGATAAAGGGCATCATATATAGGAATGTCTTTCTTATTCTGACCGTAACACACGTAGTCACGTTATATATAGGTGACCGGTAATTCAGTTTTGACTGTTTTATAACTTTAACTGTATTGTAAATTTTAAAAACAAAAGTACATGACGGTGTGATAACTTGATAGAATGACAACATGACAACATTGAAATGCAGCGTAACAACATGAAAGCACGTGACAACGTAACCAAAATGAAAACACGTGACAACATTACTACATGACCACACGTGATAACCTAATAATATGAAAACACGTGACAAGTTAACAACATGAAAACATATGATAATGTAACAACATGAAAATACGTGACATTGTGTCCATGAAAACGAATGACAACGTTATAAAAAGAAAACGCGTGTTAACGTGACAAAATGAAAACAGGTGTCAGCGTGACAATGAAACAAAATGCAAACGCGTGACTATGTGACAATATGAAAACACGTGACAACGTAGCAACATGAAACACGTGACAACGTGACAAAAATGAAAAACACGTGATAACATTACAACATAAAAATACGTGACAACGTGACAGCATTACATAACTAGTATTAGAGTAGTCCTACCTTTTTATCACGGCATCCAAGATTGAATCTGAAGCTTCCAACACTGTTTACAAATTGGTCAATAAAAACATTCCTGTCAACATAATTATTCTGTTAATTTCTAGTGGTGCTCTTAACATATTGCTCAGTTAAAGATTCCTGTTAAAATTATCATTCTGCTAATTTATTAATATTATGCTGATTGATCGGGAAAGTATTAAATGACAAATTTTTTCAGATTAAATAAACACAAGAAGCGCCGCAATGCGACGAAAACCAGGTTTTCAACGACCAAGTTTTGATCTGGCAGCAATCAATAGGTCAAAGTGCACTGAAGTTATTGAGTAGAAGCTGAAAATTCTATTGTAAGCAAATTACCTTGCCCTTGCTCCCAGCTATCTAAGTGGCAATCCAAAGCTGCCACTCAGCAAGTTTGGTGTCAAAAGGTCAAAGCAAACTCAAGTTATAACATGAAAACTAAATACATTAACCTTGATCACAGACATTTGGGTAGCAATCAAAAGCTGCATCTTGATATAAGCTATTCATACACCAAGTGTGGTGTGAATAGGCCAAAGCAAACTCATGTTATTGAGCGGAAACTGAATTTCTATTTTTAGTAACAGTGGCCTTGACCTAGATCACAGACACCCGGGTAGCAATTCCAAGCTGCCTCTTGATATAACCTATCCATACACCAAGTTTGGTGTGAATAGGTCAAAGCAAACTCATGTTATTGAGCGGACACTGAATTTCTATTTTTAGTAACAGTGACCTTGACCTAGATCACAGACACATGGATAGCAAACCCAAGCTGTCTCTTGATATAAGCTATCCATACACCAATTTTGGTGTCAATAGGCCAAAGCAAACTCAAGTTATTGAGCGGAAACTGAATTTCTATTTTTAGTAACAGTGACCTTGACCTTAAACACAAACACCTGGATGGCAATTCCAAGCTGCCTCTTGATATAAACTACCTACACACCAAGTTTGGTGTCAATAGGCCAAAGCTAACTAAAGTTATTGAGCGGAAACCAAAAGTTGACGCACGCCCGCCAGCCCGCCCGCGTGCCCGCCCGCCGACTTCGGCATTGCAATAACCCGGTTTTCGTTGAAAACCTGGTTCAAAATGTACCAAAGATTTCGAAAAATGAACCGATCTTATAAGACAAAATATACTTTTAGCCACTATAACTCATGTAAGACCCCATTCATACCATATTGTTTGATATTACCTCTTGAAATGCATTTCAGTTATATCATGAGCACCATAATTGTATATGCATTTAAAGGCACACGTGTTTAATAATGTTAAAATAATGGATTATGAGCACGTTAATTGTTTTACAAATGAAAAAAGTAGCGCTGAACATCCAGTTATGTGTAATAAAGGTAGCAAAATGTAAACAAAGTAGTATTTTGACTTCCATACAAAATACTAATTCAGTATAAGTATAGCTATACCAATTGCCAACAGAGCAAAGATGCAAAAGAAAGGACATGTATAGAGCAAAGGATTATGTTTTTGGAAACTGTAACAAAATACCAACAAATTATCAATTTTTGAGATATAAAATGATAGCATTTCTGAGGCATAATGGGCCTTTAAATACATTAACTACATTCGAGTTGCGTTACGTAAATAAAATTAATGGATTTTACTCTCACTACAGCGTTGGATTTGTACCTCTAGACGCTTGCAGAAATCATGATCACAAAGCAGTAAGATAGATATTTAAACTTTTCATTCATTACCGTATATAAATTGGTGTGAGCAGATGGCTTAAAAAGTTGCCTCGTTACTTTACTTCAGTGTTGTTATTTGTTTCTGGTCCTTCGGGATCATTGATTCCAGCACTATTAAGTGTTGAGAACAGAGTACAGGTCAACCCGGTGCCAGGGGGCGTGAGGGTTGTTGCACTTATTCATTATCCCTCTATGTACAGACTCAATCATACTGAGTCTGTAATTTTCATGTAATTTTGTTGTGTTTTATGCTACCGTGGATAAAATTGAGTCTAGAATTTTAGACGTCTTAAATGCATTAAGGAAGGTAAACGGGGCACAATTTTAGCGTTTAATCCTCTAACCGCATTAAGGTATGACCCACCTAATGCATTACCTAAACCATGAAGAGTACTCAAATAGGCTAGAAGTACTTTAAACTGAATTGAAACTGAAGGGCGCGGGTTCAAGCCCTAGAAGAGGCAACTTTTTTTTTCTTTTTTTTTCTTTGAACATTATTTGTGTCTTTCAGATCACTCTTGATAAGAAAAAAGTGTTTCATTTTAATTATAAAATTATTATTGGTATTTGTTGGCTAAATTGTGCAAAATTTATTATCAAATATGGTACCTGATATTTTCAAAGTCTAATAAAATAAAAACTACATGGTAAAAATATTTCATATTTGACAAGCTCAGCCAATAAACTTTGAAAAAAAAAAGGCAAACTTTGAAAACAGCCTCTTATTTTGTGAATTTTAGGGATATTTTGAATAAGGCCTGCAAAGTAGGAAAATAATCAAACAACTACTTAAAATGGGTGGGGTAGGGTAACATTTATATACATATTTCAAACATTTTGAGTAGAAACAATAATTTTGCTGGGTCATTTGTTAGCTGAATGCTATTATTTGTTTCTTAAATATTTTCTATAGGAAAACATTATTTCATAATGATTATATAATAGAATAATTAGAGTTTCTCATTTCTGAATAAGAGCCCTTCTAATAGCCAAGTTTTGCTTTAGAAAAATCTCCATAACTCGTAAACCATACGGTAAATTTTGTTTAAATTTTGCATTCTTGTGTCTTTTAAGGTATATAACTGACCTATGTTGTCAATTTTATAGTTTTTATAGTGCCCATTAGGGGGCTCATACCTTAAGTGTGGTGCGCCAACACTTTTTTAAGTCTCACTCAAAAATAGTTACCTCATGGACGCCACAATACTGAATGAATTCACATGTATGTGGAGACACGACGTCACTGCATGACAAGCACACTGGACCTGAAGTAGGAAAGAACGATATCTTAAGAAATGAGCCGCGTCACGACAAAACCAACATAATGTGTTTGCGACCAGCATGGATCCACGCCAGCCTGAGCATCCGCACAGTCTGATAAGGATCCATGCTGTTCGCTATCAGTTACTCTACTTGTTATAGAGTTTGTAAGCGAACAGCATGGGTCCTGATCAGACTGCGCGGACGCGCAGGCTGGTCTGGATCAATGCTGGTCGCCAATGCACTATTTTGGTTTTGTCGTGACACGGCTTTATTTTTTCTAATTTTTTAATTCAACCCTTCAACTGAAAATTCTACGAAAATTGAAAACCAATTTTATATCAAGATATAATAATTGAAGAGTTTAAAGGCACTTTAGTTGTGAGCGGTGTGTCCGAAAAACACTAAAAGGGGAAGTTGAAACACATTTGTTACCAGAAGAGTCGACGGTAGCATTGGATATTTGTACTTCTTTCAGATGACGATATTGTTTGTTTTCGATAAAGAAGATACAAACATTTCTACTGATGTGCATTATATTCTATTTTTAGTCATTTTATAAGTCAGTAGCAAATCAGTAGAAATGTATCTGTTGCTTTTGTAGATATGATAATCGAATATTTTCAAATTTTAGGGAGAGCAATTGTGTCACGACCGACGTACTAAATAAATTAAACAGAGTACCGGTATTTCAGTCTGCCCAAATTTGCCCCACTTTCCCCTTTTCATGGATGGAATACCTTAATTAAGAAAGACTTTTACCAAACAATTCTTTGTTCATATAATACAGTTTTTAGAACCGATGTGACCAAGGCTGATAATACAACAACACCAAAAAAGAATTACCAACGAAAAAGGAAACATTGACATTTCACGTATTTCATTTGTGCGAAGAAAATTTATGAAAATAGAAATGTGTGAGAGATAGTTTTCTCCCCAAAAAGAAATGTCTTTCCTTTTCATTTAAGTTTTAGGTCTCCTGTGACTTTTGGGTTGCAATACAAATGTCATAATATCTCTATGGTATCCATGGGATTTGTTTTTTCAGTGTTGCAAAGGTGCTAATATATGGAAAAAATCTCAAAACAGGGGAGCAAAATGTATCACTATCGTGAAATTTATATTAAAAAGAAAATGATCAAAGTTTCTTTTTTTACCCGAAGTTAAATATATTGCATGTAGTATAATGAAATAGTATCCGGGAGGTAAACAAACAAACATTATGAAATTGTATCTGGGGATTTGATATACCAGTATTAATACTATTATGAAATCGTACATGGGAGATAAATATACCAGCATTATGAAATCGAACGCGGGAGTTAAATATACCAGCATTATGAAAGCGAACACGGGAGATAAATATAACAGCACTATGAAATCGTACCTGACAGTAAAATATGAAAATTTCAATGCCTGTCGTGATACAAAAAAACAAATTTTGCACATATTGAACAATTATGCAATTGCGTCATTTTTGGGCGGAAATTTAGTGTCTTTCTATTTTCCAAATAATTTGGAAAAACCTGGGAAGTTATAAGCGACACAAAATCCTCCCAGGGAAAATAATATAACGTCATACCCTCCTGGTAACTCTCATATTTGTATTTGACATCACGTATGATTGTATGAAGAATACACCACCTATATATGTGTGGTTGACCCTTATAACTCGGTACAAAACTCACCTGTTTGCGTTGGCATTACCGTTGTTGTTTTGACAGTTGTTGTTGTTGGTTTCATCGTCGTCGTGGTGGTTGTTGTTGTTGTCGTCGTTGTTGTTGTCGTGGTCGTTGTTGTTGTTGTTTTAACTTCTGTATGAAAGTAAAGTGTTTCTGCTAGGGAATTTATAGCATACATGTTGATTTTGCTCAAGTAAGCATTTGAAGAAAAGTGACCAGGACAAACCAAGTATCTTATCTACTGACCGTTTTCCCAAATAATACGATGTTGTCCGTAATAAAACGACATTGACCGAAATAATGCGATATTGGCCGAAATAATGCGATATTGGCCGAAATAATGCGATATTGACCGATATCTTACGACAATGGTTGAAATCATATAAACTTCGTCTAAATTGAATATTGTTTGTAAAATAATACAATTCTGGTAGATAATACATAAATGTTGACAATAAGTTTACGACATTTTCCGAAAACATACGATGTTTGCCGAGATCATACGATGTTTGCCGAGATCAAAAGATGTTTGCCAAATTAATTAGAAATAAAACGAAATCTTATTTAGAGATAATTGAATGCTTAAGTTGAATCTCTTTAACAAGATAAAAAAAATAAGATAGATACTTTGGCACCTCCTCCCTATGTACGGCTTTGGACATGTGCATAAATAAAACGGTTTATGGTCAAGCGGCTGACAAGTTCCGCCATTGAGACACCGGTTTACTGGACAACTGGCATCTGTAATTATAATGATAAATTGAAATAAATGAAACTTCCGGTTTATGTTTATATTTAGATCAGTATTTTATGACGCAATCTTTGCAATTTTAATAGATTGTACTTCATTTGTGAGGGATGAAGGTACAGTATAATGTTTAGTTTGAACTAATTTATTTAAGTTCATCTTATTTATTTAAGTTCATTTTTAAAAAATATAGTTTTTAACTTATATTTATAAACCATGTTTCAGTCCACTTCCTGATACAAAGTGCATCAAAATTATTTATTTCTTCAGAATTTCTAGAATGTTAAAGCTGCAAACTACATGTATATACAGTTCTCTGGTCTCTACGGAAGCGCAGAAAGACCACGTTTAAGGAAATTTTCCCATATATGTCCAAGATAAGCTTCCATTCTGTCAAAGTTATTTGATATGAAGTATATCTAGAGTTCAAAGTATTTTAACATTAAACTGTTCAGCACAATAACATATAAGCTTTCTAAAGCCTTGGAATATTTGTGATATGCATTAATTACGGAAATTAACGAAGTTAGACGATCAGAACTTACATTGGCAGGTGTTGCCGAAATAGCCTTGGTTACAAGTACACGTGTAGTAAGGATTACTGTTTGTTTTTTCACATATCCCTTGACTGCAAGGTCGTTTATCACATGCATGTGCTGTAACAAATAGCATTCAACAATGTTTTTTTTTGTGTTTTTTAATGAAGAAATCACGAGATCAAGGGATTGTTTCCAAAATGTGTACACTATGTTGTATTATCATACATGTATAAATATAATATTCTATGTTTATCAAATTATAGTTAATGACAGAGATGTTTATCAAATTTGTAGGCTATTATATACATGATCATATATATGCAATATTCTAAGATGACGCATAATGACAGATGTTAATCAAATGTGTACGCTATGATACATAATCATATAAATATAATATTCTAGGTTTATAAAACAAACAAAATGTCAGTGTTGTTAATCAAATTCGTACCCTGTTATATACATTATAACATAAATGCAATATTCTATATATGTTTATAAAATGATACGCAATGCTAGAGATGTTATTCAAATGCGTATATGTTATATACATTGCCATATAGATATACTATTCTATGTTTATCAAATGATACAAAATGACAGAGACGTTTATCAAATTCGAATGTTATAATACATTATCATATAAATGCAATATTCTATGGTTATCAAATGACGCATAATGACAGGGATGTTTATCAAATTTGTACGCTAGTATACATTATGATATACATATGATATTCTATATTTGTCAAACATATAAAATGTCAGGGATGTTAATCAAATTCATATGTTATTACACATTATCATACATGCATACACGTAATATTCTTTGTTTATCAAAAGATGCGTAATGACATGTTATCAAATGCGTATGTTTATATATACGAGTATACATTATCATATAAATGCAATGTTCTATTATAAAATGACAGGGGCGTTTAAAAAATTCGAGCGCTGTTACACATTTTTATAAAATATACGTTTATTAAACGATATTTATGCACGAGATGACAGCGTTGTTTCTTAAATGGACCTTACATTATCTTATATCATTGTAATTTAAACTGCTGTCAGGGGAGATAATGAGTGTTACGTTAATATACCGTACTTTCACAGTTCGGTCCGGTATACCCGACAGGACAATCGCAATAGTAGTACGGCGCTTTCGTTGCCATGTGACACTGTCCATTGTTTTTACAAGGATGAAGATTGTCGCATTCATTCACTGTTAAAAAGAACAAGAACAAAATAACAAAAAAGCTGTCATAAAATTGATATGAAAAATATCACACTGTTGGGTAATGAAATATACTGTTTCCGGAAGCGCATTTGAGATATGTACATAAAATGGGTTATAACAATGTTTTGAAGTATATCTTATTGAACAACACCGTGTCTAAAGCAAAAAACAAAAATGGGGATTGTTATCATAATCAAAGACCACATGTTGTTTGTTTGTTTGTTTCATTTTACGCCTTTTTTCCAACAGTATTTCAGTCAAAAAGACCACAGGTGCCTTTCTATTCATTATTTCAGGCACGAACGAGGCGGTACCTGAGTAAAACCACCAACGTTCTGTCACCAAGCTGGATAGCTTCCTAACATGATATAATAAAAAGTCCCTGTCGGGATTCGAACCCACAGCGGTGAGGGGTAAGTGGGTTTTAAGTAACGAAATCCACAGACGCCCAAAAACATTGATAGTGAAAAAAATGTGTTTTGATATGATATACACAAAATGTAAACCAAAAAAAACTGACAACATTTTTAAAAAGACTTCTCCAAACTCTTTTTATAAAATTGAAAGATCCCGATAACTTCACAAACGGTATGTATATATATTGATAGACATGGGATAGTTAAAATTTTTTACCATGGGTAAAATATAAAAATTGTCAAACAAGGATATATATTTTATTTTTTTTTACTTTTTGTGCCCGGAATACATGTCACTTTAAAATGTTTGCCAAATCTAACAATTTAATGTTGTTGTTGAACGCTTTTGGACCTCAGTTGGAGCTTCATTATAAGTATGCTATTACTAAATTAAATTTGTCAAGAACGGCACAGTCGTTCGACCAATTTTCATGTAATTTGATAAATGCTTACCAATGAACACCAACCAATTTAATGTTTGAATTTATTTTTATAAACAGTTGATTTTTTAGACTAATTAATAGTTTCCTTGGAAGTACGAATGGAAGCATTTGGAAAAACAAAAACTTTATCCCATTTTCAGAACTAAACTAGGCTGTAAAACTTTCAACTTATATCAAGTACTTAAGCCAATCTTTCGTTCGCTACATTATTTTTTTTATATTCTAACGATTTCTCAGAATAAAAACACAAGTAGACGGGATGCTTACAAAAAAATAAAAAAATTAAAAAGTAACTGCCTGACAGGGAGCACTTTGCAGGTGCACGATGACGTAATTTTCTACCATTGTAAATGAGTGATATTGATTTTTTTTCATTGAAACAATGGACTTATGAAGTGACAATATGTTAAGTATAATGCTAACACGATGAGACCTCCTCGATGAGGTGTTATTTGTTATTTTTCGTTAATCATTTGCCGCAAATTGAAAATATACGTTGGTTACAAAACAAAATGAATAATACGCTAATAGAAAACCGGATGCAAAGACAGTTGTAAAGTGGTAAAGGAAATCCGTTGACGTCCAAAGGTGTAAAAACATTAAAAAAAAAAATCTTACGATAAATCAACTGAACGGAAAAATGTAAAATGTAATCAATAGATAACTCATATTTATGATGAAAGAAATAACGTTGTTTTTTTGTGCCTGAGTTAAAACGTTCTAAATGCTTTTTATAATTTATTTATTTTGTGGTAAAAACATATTTCCCTGCACCGTCCCCAGCCTCAATCTGGCGATGGTTGACTGGACGGCGAGGGGGAGGGGTATATAAATATCCGGTGAATAAAAATGCGTACCATTGTGGCAGTCCTGAACCGGGACATCTGCACGGAAACCCAATACCGTTTAGGAAAAACCCTTTTTGGCTTTCGCGTTCCGACAGGGCAGGGGGAAAGAAGTGAAAATGGTTAACATCTAAAAGGGTTGGGACAATAAAATAAAAAACAAAATTCTATTTCCGCCCTTTAATAAAGAAATTTTTAAAAAATATACGATTTTACCCCGCCCTGTTTAAAAATCACCCCTTTAAAAAACCCTACGATTAAAAATTGGGAACAAAACCACCAGCTAGTAGGTTGCTACCTTCTCGTGAGTTTTCGAACAGCCAATCATCGGCGAGCTTTCAGAATTTTGAAAGCGATGCGGTTTCTGGCAGCAGACAGGCAAACTGGCAAAACAATCTTTCTCATTGAAAATTTGAGTGTGTCATTTCTAGTTTATTTTGTTTCAAATTACTTCAGACAAATTATTTCTTACAAAAACGGGGTGATATTATATAGTTCCTATTTTATATCATCTGAAAACATATATGATCTAATTGGTCCGGACGGTAGTCCACATAACAAATTATAAGTCATAATCACCGGATGTACATAAAGCATAAATTGGATTTTCTTGTTCTTAAAATAGAATCACACCAATAGTTAAAGACACATTATAGCTCTGAAATTCTTTTCTTTTTTTTCTTCTTTTTTTTGACTTCTTTAGAAATATCAAATATTTGTTCAATTTTACTTTCATATTATATTTAGAACTTTTAAGATGTTTAACAACCTAAGAAAGTAGGGCTGAACGCGCAGGTATGTGTGGCAAAGGTAGCAAAATGTAAACAAAGTAGTATTTTGACTTCCCTACATTATACATATTCATTGGAATTATATCAATTACCAATAGATCAAAAATAGCAAAAGTGTTCATATAAATGGCAAGCGAATATCTTTCGGAAACTATAATCAGATACCAAAACTAAAAAGTCTTTACGAAGTTATAATATATAACTCTACCGAGGCATTATGGGCCTTTAATGACCATACACTGCGAGTAAGCATGTGAAATATTGCACGAGCTAAATATCAGTACTGTACAATTTGTTAATGACCCATAAATTATCATTTCAACCTAATTGATATCAATATCAGTTTCATAAAACCATGAAATTAAATTACAATACGGATCATTTGTTCGTGATCCCTCGAGGTTATAAAACATTTTTTTTCTAGACACTGTTCTTCATAGATCAGTGTTCATTCTGTGTCAGTTTTTGACCAATCAAATACTTAAGATCTCAGTTTTACCTTAGATAACTTAATTCTTTATAACCTTGGATCATGTGGATCCTGGCCATTTCTTTGTGAACCAGCTGCCTGTCTTTCTTTGCCACACAATTTTTGCCGGCAACTATAAAAATTCTTTTATGGTATTTTGCAAAGAAATGTTGGACCAGATCTGTATGGTGGCGGAGTCGGTACACTTCGCGCGTTGCGTTGTCGATAGCAACAAACCTATATCGTTATCGCCTTTTTGTCTTGTCGTTAGTAAACGGAGCGTTTTTCGCACTGTTTGGGGTTTTGTTTGTCCTTTTCTCTAGCGGCACGCCAAAAAGGGGCGTTGTTTGTTCGGGCGGCGTTGTCGCAATGTTCGCCCTTTTCGCTTACCTCAGTCGCCAATACCCTTTTGATTCGGGGTGTTCGGAACGAAAAATCTTTACATCGTGACAACACGGGTGCACGGGCCAACCGCCGTTTTGGTGCAAACGGGAAGCCCACAGGAAAAACAAGACGGAAAAGTCTGACAACGCCCGTTTTGGCGCTTTGTCTTTTGGGTTTTGTAGCGAAAAAACCACGACCACAAAAGGGGTTTCCCAAATCAGCCCTTTTGTACATTTAAAATTTTTTTAAACAAAGGGGGGGGGAACTTAAAGTTTTAAAGTACGTTTTACCCAAAGAGTTTTCCCAAAAAAATCCTGGTTTTTCAAAAAGCATGTGAAATATGGGTGGGCCATAATTCCTCGTGAGGACCACGTTCGGTTTTTTTCTGGCATATGTGATTGTTTTACAGATGGGTCATTTTACTTGTGAAATAAAATATAGTGTTTGATAGTTTTATTCTGATAAAAATACATGTCATAAAACAACTACAAATTCAATGTCAACATCAAGAAATACATGTGAACATTAAAGTGCCATATATATAATACCAAGGATGACACAAACAGAATGGTATAAAACCGTCTGGACCTTAGAATTGGTCATTTTTGACACCCGAAAGGCAAAAATTTTTATCAAAAAATTAACAAAGAATTTGCTTTAAAAATTCTTTATACAAAATTAATTTCCAAAATTAAAATTTTTTTAAAAAGTAATTTAAAACACAAATTGCAATATCCCCCTTATTATTTTAATTTTGGTTTTTAAAACTTTCCCCGGGTTTAATTTAAAATTTACTAACAAAAAAAAAAGTTGAATCAAGATTCCTTACCGTCATATTTGTTTTTGTAAATTATACACTTATGGGCCTTTAAAAGAATGTAATGGCCATACAGCTAATTTCAAATAGCCCATTTTATATATCATAAAATAGAGCTTCAATAGTCCATTAAATGCATCACAAGCTTAAATAATAAATCATGTTTTTATTTTCTATAAAGGACAAATTGAGATTCATACCTGTACACGTATCACCAGAAAAATATCCGCGACATGCACACCGGAAGTAAGGTGCAGTACTTGTATTGTAACACCGCCCAAAGTTATGACACGGACTACTTGCACAATGATCGACTGTAGAAAAATGACAAAAAGGGTATGTTAATGCAATGGTTGCTATGAAAATCACTGGTAGCTATAGACAGTCAAAGGTTGCTATGGAAATCACTGGTTGCTTAGAGAAGGCTATGACTGCTATGAAAGTCACTTGATATTAAATATTTATTTTTTTTGGAAGTCCTAGTTGTTATACAAAGTCAATGATTTCTATGAGAGTCACATGTTGTTATGGAAAATCAATTGTTGCTAAGGAAAATCAATAGTTGTTACTAAAGCTACTGGTTGCTTTGGGAAGGCAGTGCTTGCAAAAGGAATTAAAAGTTGCTATGGAAGTCACTGACTGCAATGGAAATGCCATGATTGCCAACGACATCATTGGTAGTTACAGAGAGGCAATGGTTGCTATGGAAATCACTGGTTTCTAGGGAAAGTGAATTATTGGCATGAAATGCTTTGCGGGTTGCTAATAAAATTTTATGGTTGCTATGAAATTCATTGGCCACTATGGAAATTCAATTCATGCTAGTAAGGTCATTGATTACAGTGGAAACTGAATGGAAGTCACTTGTTACTATGGCAATGCAATGGTTGCTATGGAAGTCAAATATCAATGGTTGGTGTAAAGGCTTTTGTTGTTTATAAAAGTATGGTGGAAAACGAAGTTATTGGTTGCTTTTTTATTATTTGACATAAAAACAACATTGGTTTCACTACATAATATTTCTTGTCAAATATTTAAGCTCTAGCTTGCCCTTTTTAAAATTCTTAAATGCTTATGACCACATCCAAATTAGAGTGTCATCTATCGTTTCTTTGAAGTTTTGTCAAAATCCACCGATTGACCATGGTTTAGGCATTGATGTTACTTAAAGATGTTGAGGACAATTACGAACGACGGATAACGGTCTACCATCACTAAAGTTCATATCTGACCACTGTGCTTAGGTGCAACTTCTAAGCACTGTGCTCAGGTAAGAATATGTTCTCATTTTTAATTATTTTTTGAACCACAAAGGTATAAAATATATCAAAAAGGAATAAGGTATGACAAAAAAGAATAAAAGCGAATAATATGATTTGAAATTGCACATGTACGTTACATCATGGGCCAATTTTTTAAATTTACGTTTCGCATCAACCATGCATAAACTTTTTGGGTAGACTGGGGGCGGGTCCAAAAACCGCCTAAAAAAAAAAGGGGTTTGGATTGGAATTGTGGGTTTAATATAACGGGTTTTCTTGGGTTAAGTATTGTTATATTAAAACCGTACAAAAAGGGTAGGGCCCACTAACGAAAAAAATTAGAAAAATTTTTTTTTAAATGTTTTGAAATTTAAATTGAAAACCCAACTTTTAAAAATCGTGTTAAATAAAAAAAATACAAAAAACCCTTTTTCACATATAGTTTAATTAAATATCAGTGGCGCCTTTTTTGGGATCATTTTCCCAAATTTGAAATATAAAATCCCCCTAAATGGATCTAATAAGTTTGATTTTTATGAAACTGAAAAAAATTTTTTAACAAAATTTGGGAGCTATTATAATAAATTCCTTCAAATTGATATGAGAATTTGACTGTTCACATAAACCAGGAGTCCATTATACACCGTAGGGAACGTGTTACAGTATCGCGGTTTTTCGGTTACAGTATAGAATTTTTCAAGATGGAGGATTATTTATGGGGAAGAGAGTAGGTGATTTTTATTCAGGTCCATACTACTAGTAGTTTAGTTTCTAAACCTTGTTTTTGTGCTTTGCTTGTAATGAACAGAATCCGGTATCTAGTCATCAATATTTTCTTCAGACCCTGCACCGCAGATTTTTGTCTCTATATATTGTCTCAATAAATGTGTGCAGATTTGACGGGTGAAAAAATTTGAAATCGAGAGACCCAAATGCATTTTTCTCCAATTCCCGATATTATTAAAAAGCATGCCTAGATATAAAGTTAATCTACAAAACGTTAGACATTGTGTTTAGAAACGTTTATAAAAGTAAATGACCTGTTGAACCTATTTTCCTGTTGGTAAAATGCGTTTGAAAAAATAAACAATGTTACAGTATAGAGCGAGGTAAATTTTGAAGGGTTACAGCATAGACCTAGCGACTTTGATCCATTTTTGTTACAGTTTATACCCAGATTTCAGTTACAGTTTAGATACTTGCCAAATTCCAAACAAAGTTCGTGTATCCATTACTTTTATGAAATAACTCATACCTTTCTATTTAAGACATTCTTGAAGGTTGTATTACTTTTTTCTACAGCAGAAAAGTTATAGTTTGCTATGTTTCTTACTTTAAGTTTTAGATTGAGACTTTTTGCAGAATAAGTAATGTCCTAAGTAAGGACTGTTTTCACGACAACAACAGTAACTTTTATCGAATTTTATTGAGAAAAGAAAGATTATTGCTTTATTTCATTACACATTATAATAATGCCTACTAGTAATAAAATAGAGAAAAAAGAACCCTTAACAGAAGTCCAACACGGAAAACATGAAAATGTTGCAGGCTCAGTTTGATTAAATATGTTCATGGACGATAGTGGTAACTGCAAGCTACCGTCCACACCTCCTAGCACCGGCTTCATCAGAATTCACATTTAACATGAACTGGTACACTTTAGATTTTTTAACATCTGTGGATGTGTTCATATGTCGGTTATCATGTAACCTTCAATGTGACACGTTATTGCCATTTTATGAAAAGCGGCATATTACCCCCAGGTTAAAATTTGCGTGTGCCCTAAACGAGAATACAATGAGTGAAACTATATAAAATGAAATTTTGAGAGGGGATCGGAGGTTATGAAGCCTGCATACCATAGATAAGCTGTCAAAAAAGCAAAGGCAATACCCTAGGAATGATTTAAACGAGTATGTTTAAGTGAGTGCAATACTGCAATCTTGAATTTTTTTTAAGTTTGAATTTTCAATCTTACCTTTTGTATTTTGTAGTATTAAAAGGGTTTTGTTACGTTTTTGGCTTTCTTGGATTAATAAGTTTTCAAACGACACTGAGGTCATGTGAAAACATTCCTGCCTTTTAGTGTAAGAAAGACACCAGAATTTACCCTTTGGGTGAACATTTCAAACAACGAGCGGGGCACCGTTGACCTAGAACACCTAACCTTTCGTAAATTAGCTTGATAGATTCCTCACATACAAGAATCCAAAGTCAATGAAATTGGATTTCAACTACAGCAAAATGAAAGATGATTTTGAAGTCAACGGCCTTGTCCCGACTCTGAGCCACTATAACTATTATGGTTTACCTCCAATCAGGCCTCACTAGAGAAGATATTTTGTAATTGTCTGACCTTAAATTTATACTCTAAAAACTTTCAATATTTATTTTCCTTTTTCAGAAACATGAAAACTGCTATAAAACAGGATGTCCTGAAATAAAAAAATACGAACTTTTAATTTAATAATGACAAAATAATCGTAACTTCAACAAAGAAGCATTCCGAAATGACGGCCAATGATCATGATTGATTTGAAATGCTTTGAGTTTTTCGAAAGATGAGAAGGGTCTTTGGAACATTGCCTTTTTTTTCAAAAAATATATGTTTTGGGTTTTCGTATTAAACCGATTGCCCAACCGGGAAACCATTTGAATAAACTTAATTTGGTAAAAAGTCATTTAAATTTCATCACATTTAGTCAAGTAGTTACTGAGCGGATGAGATTGCACACACATGTGTAGAGACAGACGGGACGAATAGCCATCGGGCCAATAAGCTCACGGAAGATTTAAAAGTCTATGTAACATTCATACATTTTCCCAGTATATATAGAAAATATCGAAGTCTAAACTGTAACCCGAAATCTGGGTATAAACTGTAAAACAAAATCCGGATCAAAGTCGCTAGGTCTATGCTGTAACCCCTGCACAAATCACCTCGCTCTATACTGTAACATTGTTTATTTTTTCAAACCGCATTTAACGAACAGGAAAATAGGTTCAACTGGTCTGTTTTACTTTTATAAACGTTTCCTAACATAAAGGACTAACGTTTTGCAGAAATTTACTTTTTCTAGGCATGCATAAATAATGTCGAAATTGGAGAAAAATGCGTTGGTCTCTCGATTCAAATTTTCAAACTGTCAAATCTGCACATTTATGAGACAATATAGAGATAAATCTGCGGTGGGCAGGGTCTGAAGAAATATATGACTAGATACCGGATTCTGTTCCTTACAAGCAAAGCACAAAAACAAGTTTTAGAAACTAAACTACTAGTAGTATGGACCTGAATAAAAATCACCTACCTCTCTTCCCATAAATAATCCTCCATCTTGAAAATTCTATACTGTAACCGAAAAACGCGATACTGTAACACGTTCCCTACGGTGTTATATTATAGAGTATTTGGCCTCCACATTGCCTCTTTTGGCAAGGGAGGTAAATATAGTAAAAGTCGGGAACTATGTTCATGAGTTTTGGCCGAACCTATTGAAACGGATAAACGTGGCACCTTTACTGGCCAAAGGCATAACTAACAAAAATATAATGAATATAATTATATTATAATACACAGTTACAAAGGGGGCGCAAAATTTACGCAAAAAAGAATGCATTATGCCATATGTATGAATAGTATACTGTTCTCTATAATCATGTTTGTCTTATATATGTATATATATTTTTACCTCTTTTTATATGAATGAAAAGATATGCTAATTAAACGAAATATGTTTAGAAAACGAAAAGTGGTGACCATACCTTCGTGTTGATTGCATAGTGCCTGGTTAAAACAGTTGCAGTGATACCCAGAATGATCTTTCACACACGTGTTTCCGGAAGGGCATGGGTCTGATGCGCATGCGTCGATGTCTACGAAAATTAAATGGAGGCGATAAATATAAAATCAAAAATCTTTTTTTGCTGAAAAGTAGTACTTGATGTAAGCATTACATAATAAATTTAAAACTACTCTAACAAAATTTCCCAGGCATCATTTTCTTGCAAAGCTCTTTTATTATTTCCTTATTTGTAATTGGGCAAAATATGAAGTCCGCTCAATCTAGTGAGCTTCCCAATATAGAATGTTTCATGGTGTAAAAAACTGTATCTGTAATCTGACATTCTCTGTAACGGTTACTCACTCACATCAGCGAGTTCCAGGTGTTATAATTCCCGCGTAAACAAGATGTTTTTCGGTTGCTAAGGATCGAATTTCCGGTACTAAGATTGAGCCAGTGACATCACAGGATGAGCCAGTGACGTCACCGGACAATTGAATCTGCCCTACTTATTTCATGACAATTATTAATTACAACTTTAAAATTTTTCATTCTTTTAAATTTAATTTAACAACAATAAAAAGACTCACTTACATTCACACCTGCTACCGTAATACCCTTTTGGACACGTGCATTTATAGTGTGGTACAGAGAAACTCGCATGACACGTGCCACCATTTAAGCACGGGTTTCTATCACAATTTGTGTTCTCTTTAATAGAATTAAAAGAATATAAAAGATATGTTTAAAAACAAGTTTTGAAAACTAACAAACACACGTAGAAAAAGAAACAAACAAAAGATTAAGAAAGAAAGAAAGAAATAAAGAATGAAAGTACGAAAAGGAAAGTAAAAACGGAAGAAAAAAAATAAATCAAAGCACAAAAGGCGCTGAATTTGTTTGGGTCTCAGAATGTCAGAAAGGTGAAGGTTGTGAGATTATAAACCAATTTGTTTTTGTATAGTGCCACCAATGCTTTCCAGTGTTTTAATTGTAGTTTATTGGCTTTAAGACTAATTGCAACACTGATATTCAATTCAATGTTTATTTGACTTTTAAAAACAATTTGAAAAAAAAAGAGTTGCCTTCCTAGATTTGAACTCCAGACCCCTCGGCCACGGTGAAATTATATGTAAAAGGCCTGAAGAAAACCATATTATTCTAAATTAGAGTTTGTAACCCTTATTATTTCGACGCTAACTGTTGTTTAACACAGATGTTATTAATCATGGAGTGTATTATAACCATGTTTATCTATAAAGGATAAAACAATATTAGAAATCTTCGATCATTCGGGAATTATTTTGCTTGAAAATTAATGCGCCTGTCTTTTGGCCATCTTTACGCAGTGATCTCCCCTGAATTTTTTCGGCGTTAGTGTACATATAAAGGGAAGTAACCGCTTCAAAAAAGCGGCCTACTTTCGGCATTTGCAATTAACAGCATCAGACTCTGAAATTTCGCTACCATTATTTGTTTGGTCTGACGACCCAAACAAATAAAAACGGCACAAATTAAAGTAGGAAAATACAGAAATTAAATAGTTAGCGGGAGAAAGAAAGAATGAACGAAAGAGAAAGAAATAGACCAAACAATCAAACAAAACAAAGAAATGAACGAACAAAAAAATAAACAAAAAGAGGAGAAACAAACAAACAAAGAAACGCACACAAATGAACGAACAAATAAACATTAGAAAGGGGAAAAGAGAAACAAACAAACGAATTAACGGCCATGACATTACACAGAAGGTTGTGTTTTGTTAGTATTAAAATTTTAATGAAAGTTTGACACTTCGAAGGTTGAACACTAACTCGCTCGTGAGTTGATTTATAACTCCTTTGAAAGTTGATAACTAGAGTTGTTTTATAAACTAACTCGCGAGTTGATTTATAACTCCTTTGATAGTTGATAACAAGAGTTGATTATAAACTAACTCGCGAGTTGATTTATAACTCCTTTGATAGTTGATAACTAGAGTTGATTATAAACTAACTCGTGAGTGATTTATAACTCCTTTTGAGAGTTGATAACTAGAGTTGATTATAAACTAACTCGTGAGTTGATTTATAACCCCTTTGAGAGTTGATAACTAGAGTTGATTATATAACTAACTCGTGACTGATGTTGATTTATAACTCCTTTGATAGTTGATAACTAGAGTTGATTATAAACTAACTCGTGAGTTGATTTATAACTCCTTTGATAGTTGATAACTAGAGTTGATTATAAACTAACTCGTGAGTTGATTTATAACTCCTTTGAGAGTTGATAACTAGAGTTGATTATAAACTAACTCGCGAGTTGATTTATAACTCCTTTGAGAGTTGATAACTAGAGTTGATTATAAACTAACTCGCGAGTTGATTTATAACTCCTTTGAGAGTTGATAACTAGAGTTGATTATAAACTAACTCGCGAGTTGATTTATAGCTCCTTTGAGAGTTGATAACTAGAGTTGATTATAAACTAACTCGTGAGTTGATTTATAACTCCTTTGAAGGTTGATTTCTAACTTGACTAACTACAGTTGATTATAAATCAACTCGTGAGCTGATTACTAACTCGCTCGTAAGTTGATTACTTTCTTCCTTGTAGGTCCTCGTGGTTTAATTTTAACGACCTTGTGAGTTGATTACAAACTCCCCTGATATTTCTAACTCCTTATGAGTGATTATTAATGACCTTGTGAGCGGGTTACTAACTCATTCTAGGGTTGATAACTAACTCCCTTTAGATGTGATATCCCTTGTGAGCTCAAAACTAGCTCCCTTGTGAGTTGATTACTAACTACCTCGTGAGTTGATTTCAAACATCTTAAATGAATGAACGAAGGAACGAATGAATTAAATAATGAATACATGAATAAAATTAACAATTGTAGCTAAATAAAATAGAAAACATACTTTCACAGTTTGTCCCAGAAAAGCCATGCAGACACAGACAAACGAAGTTACTGCTGTTGGTGGAAGACTTACACACACCGTGATGAAAACATGAAACCCCATGGCATGGAGCCACAGCTGAAAATTAAATTATTGCATAAAAACAGACTGATAAAGTTTTTGAAGGCATGGTCAGGGTCAGAAACCCACTTGTATTTTAAAACCACCGTAGGGAACGTGTTACAGTACCGCGCTTTCCGATTACAAAATAGAGTAACTTGTAGCACGTTCCCTACGGTGAATACTTGGAAAGCTTGTATGAAGTCCTTTTTTTACATTCAACAATCTCAGTTTGTTATTTATCCTTTACAGAAATGTCCTCCCAATTTGGAAATTTATTGCAGAAAATGGAAAAAACTGTAACAGAAGTTGATAACGTTGATATAGAGGTTTACGCAGTGTGTTTGATTCGTTTTAAGTCTTTGTTGTCATGGTTTATTCATCAATCGATTTATTATTGGGGTTAACATCCCTCCAATACAGTAGAGGTCATAATTATGGCACGTTCGTAGCGGTGGAGGAAGACACCAGGTTCCTCACCGTCCATTTATAATCAGACACCGAGATAAAACCACCGACGTTGAATGAGCTTGCTTGATAGCTTCCTCACGCAAAAGACTCTAAAGTTCATGGCGAAAACCTAAAGTGATGCTTTGTCATGAAATCTTATGTTAAGGTTTGTAATGTCATGTTATGTTATGTTACCTTATGTACGTTACGTTATGGTATGCTACTTTAAGGTAGGGTTGTGTATGTATGTATGTATGTATGTATGTATGTATGTATGTATGCATCCGTGAATGAGTGCTTGCTTGCTTGTGTGCGTGCGTGCATGCATGCATGCATGTACGTACGTGGGTACGTATGTATGTACCTCCTTATTGCAACAATTTAAACATATATATTTCACATATTTACTTTGACAGTGGTCGCCTTCAAAGCCCGTCGCACATCTGCAATAATAATATGGATGCCGTGTCGACACGTGACAAGCCCCGCCGTTCATGCACGGGCTATTGATGCATGCCGTTGTTTCTGTAAAACATGAAATAGAAAGAAAAACTTAAACAAATAGTAAAGTATATTAATAACGGAAATAAATAAACTAATTTAACATTTTACTTTCAAAACAACTGAAATATTTTGATGAAATAATTTTTTACTCAAACATGTTAAAGGTAAATAGAAGGATTTGTTTACCTCTTTTCAGGCTTCAACTGCACATTGTAACCGTTAAATTATTAATATTATTCGTCGGGTGCAGCTTTCGACCTATTCAGACTGAGAAAAATACACCAGGTTGCTTTTCAGTGCATTCATCAGAACTTATCACATTAAATATTAAGATCGGACCTTCCCATTCTTTTCAATATCGACAAAACAATTGATCATTTTTGGAAAAGTTTTGACATTCATGTATATACTGGATGATTCCCGAAAATTGCAGACTATGATTACACGGCAAGCATGTGTCAGCTGGTCTTAGGCTGAACTGCTCGCATGGGTAAACTCTGTCGCTGCCTACAGAGTATGGGAAAAGGGTTAGAGCTCAAGCCGGCAACTGAGCAGAATCCTCGACGTTTCGTTAGCTAGTTGCACTGGATGACCTCATCACATGAAAAGGTTCGAGCCCACAGGATAAAGCGGTATGAGTTTTGTGATAATCTATGTGATAATAAAAGGTTTAATGTAAGTAAAAATAATTAATATTTAATATTAAAATTTATTGAGAGAAACATCATACTTTCGCACGTTGGCCCAGTGTAGTTTGTAGGACACGTGCAAATGTAGTATGGATCATTGTTTCGCAAGTGACATACTCCGTTGTTCTTGCACGGGTTATTGTCACAGTGATGGTTATCTGAAAGTTATCAACATAGAAGTTAGAGCTTTTATCTCTTTCATAAAAAGCAGAACAGACAGGTACTCAAAACATATTGTAATGCATAGAATCGCGCGTAAAGATGTTGTACATTTTCAATATGCGTGACGTAAAATTGTTTACGGCAAAGACAGTCCCGGTACTTGCATTACCAAAGCATCCTCAAGTGCCGCAACGATTGCATGAAACCGATTTCTCTATCCGAAAAAAAGATAACGCAACGGGGACTTACCAGCCCAGAGAATGAAAGAAAGAAACAAACAAACAAACAAAATATCAAAGAAGCAAAGAAAGAAAGAAAGAAAGAAAGAAAAAAAGTAAGAAGGAAAGAAAGAAAGAAACAAACAAACAAACAATCAAAGTAAGAAAGAAATGTAAGATTTTGAGAGGTATGGAAGGAAAAATGGCATGAGTTAGAGTAAAGTGATCTTTTTTATCATATAGCATTTTAATTTGTTTGGGTCGTCAGACCAAACAAATAATGGTAGCGAAATTTCAGAGTCTAATGCTGTTAATTGCAAATGCCGAAAGTAGTCCACTTTTTTGAAGAGGTTACTTCCCTTTATATGTACACTAACGCCGAAAAATTCAGTGGAGATCACAGCGTAAAAATGGTCAAAGACAGGCACATTAATTTTCAAGCAAAATAATTCCCGAATGGTCGAAGATTTCTAATATTGTTTTATTGTATTTTCTGATCAAAATAAGTAAATACAAAGCGGACACAGAAGTTTACGACAAACCTAACAACAAGTAGTTCTCAAAACAGCTTAAAACTAGCGATTTAAAAGAAAGAAATATTTTTATTTTGTTACAAGTATCAAACAAATTACAACGCATTCAAAATTTAAAAATAGCGTTGGCTTATAGAATTGTCAATAAATGTACAATCACAAATTACGCGGATGAATATGATTTTATCAATGAAAATACTATTTTTAGCGATGTCGATTACCGAATACTACACAAACCGAGTAGTGGAATATATAGATTCTACATGTCGGACTGTTTGGGCGAGAAGATTTTCGCTAAATTATTCACTTCAATTTTAAACAACAGGTTTATTCTGAATAAAATACCTCGAAAGTAATAAGGATTACAAACCCGAAATGCAATAGTAGTTCTTAATTAAGAATGGCCTGATGTTATTCAGACATTGTTTATATAACTTCTCCGTGGTGCAGGGGTAACGCGCTCGCTTAGTGAGTGAGAGGTCTGGAGTTCAAATCCCATTTTTTAAAATTCTTTTTTAAGTGTCTTTGTTAATAAAGTAGCCATGATATGCAAGGATAAAGTGTAGCTGTCGTAAAAAATAAACATAAATGATATTTTGATGCAACTCTAGTTATGCAGAATTCCGTATGTATCAAATTCTGGTGCCTTGCAAAATGAATTATAATACATAAAAATAAACTTATACAGGAAAATACATACAGATATACAGTACGATTTAGATTGCAAAGATCAGAAAATACCACAGAACTTTGATTCTTTATAAATATACATGCTTATAGTAAGCTCCAGGATTATTTACATCTGTGTTAAACAACAGTTAAAGTCGTTTCAAGCCCTGATTTAGAATAATATGGTTTTCTTCAGGCCGTTCACATATAAATTCACCGTGGCTGAAGGGTTTTCGCGCTCGCTTAGGAAGCGAGAGGTCTGGAGTTCAAATCCCAGTAAAGGTAACTATTTTTTTTCAAATTGTTTAAGTCAAATAAACATTGGATTGAATATCAGTGTTGAAATTAGTCTTATAGCCAATTTACTACAATTAAAACGCTGGAAAGCATTGGTGGCACTATACATATAATCTCACAACCTGTACCTTTCTTACATTCTGAGACCCAAACAAATTCAGCACCTTCTGTGTTTTGATTTTAACTGAGTTACACTGAGGTTTTGTGAGATAAATTTTTGTTTAATTTTTAAAAATCAGTGTTAATGTTTGTATAATATGTTTAGTTATGGTGTAATTTAGTTGAATGTGCACCATAATATCATTCTTATTTATGACGTAATGTTTTTCTCGAAATTATAACATTTTGATAGCGATTTAAAAAATATTATTATAGAATATTTACATTGGCACTTTGATCCTGTGAACCCGGACAGACACGAGCACGTGTAGCCATCGTGATTACTGGCTTCATGACAAGTTCCGCCATGATAGCAGTGGTTAAACTTGCAAGCTGACGTTGCTGCAGTTGTTGTGATGGCAGGTTCTATACAAAAGAGATAAATCTGGATATTAACATTACATTGCCGACAATGTCTTTTACATAAAGAAAACAAATTACGAAAACGGATATTCTCATTAGGCACTTTTTTTCTTATAGTAGCGTATGAACTTACAACTTCATTCATAACGATTTAGTGATGTCATCCTAAGAACGCAATTCATTTATAAAATGCGCGCGGCAATGACGTCATTTAAAGCACGCGACCAAAAACTAAAATCTACCGAAGACCTAAATGTTCAACGGTAAAACAACCAAACTGCCGTCTTGTAATTAAAGTCAAGGTAGGCATACCCTGATATAATTTAGAATAGAGATCACAGATGTAATAATTTTGCGACATTTACTTTTTACGCACCATCACATTTATTGGACATGTATGTTAAGTTATGAAATGTTAATACTGGTATATCATACCATGTAGACGATCAACTGTATTTATATGAAATTCCAGCATGATAAGTCTTATAAGTCTCAATAAAAATTGACTCCTTCTAAGATATCTATATATACGCACAGCATAAGATTTGTTAAGTGTACAAAGTTAGCTTTGTACGACATACGAAATGATCTTTATTTTAGTCATTGAAACACCTTGTTTATTGTTTTGACTTTACATCATGTCTATCGATAATCATCATACATCATATTATATGAAAAACATACATGTATATATATTTGTATTATTTAAATCAAAAATGTATACTATGGAACGCGCCAAAACAGCATTTTGATACGAGAAACTTACATGTTTGGCAAGGGGACATTTGCTAGAGTCAATGATTAAAAATGGAAATCTTTTAACATTATAACGCCTAAAACGGCAAAATTGAAAATATTGTAACATGGGTTTGACGGAGATTGTTAATGGACGAAAATGGAAAATGCAAGCTAACGTCTTTGCCCCCCCCCTAGCACCAACCACGCCCCCCGCCCCCGTTGTATCATGTCCAATATATTGCCACCTGAACACAAACAGATGATCTCGACACAATAATATATATACCGGACTACACTTTACGCAGATTTGTCCCAATATTCCGTCATGACTCAACCAAATGCCAACAAAACAATACTGTCAGTCCTTCTAAACGAAAAGCAGTTTTGGCGTCCCCTAGTTGTTTTTCTGAACACAAACAGATGATTTCGACATAATAATATATACATGTATACCGGACTACACTTAAAATTACGCAGATTTGTCCCAATATTCCGTCATGACTCAACCAAATGCCAACAAAACAATACTGTCAGTCCTTCTAAACGAAAAGCAGTTTTGGCGTCCCCTAGTTGTTTTTCTCTGTTTTCTTTCTTTCTTTCTCATCTTTATTGGTATACATTAGTAGATAACTGAGACATGCTTACTTTCGCAATTGTTTCCTGTAAAATTCTTAGGGCAATAGCAGTGATAATATGGACTTGTATTCTGATGACGACATGTTCCGTGGTTCTGGCACGGTGGGTGACTGTGACCGCAATAGTGGTTTACTTAAAAAAAACAACAAGAAACAATAACAAACAAGCAAAAAATTAGAATCATGTTTCCAATTATGCATGACTAATTAAAATGGTTTGTAGATTATATAGATATGTGAAATACAAGGTACTAACTTCCGGTAAATGCAGACACCGCTCCAGATATACTTGATCCGGAAAGTTGCGATCGGCAAAGCAACAGGGTTTGTCATTTACACTAAAGTATACCGAATGTTGATAATGAAACCAAGTAAAACCAAATTTCTTTTTTTACTTTTTATTTATCTGCAATTCTATTTCAGCCTAATATGATCTATTAAGTGTCATGCAATAAGGAAAATCAGATCAGAATCGGCATTTTGAATGACGTCAAAGGGAAGACTTGCCAAAAGTTCCATAGCACAAATCTGTCTGCAAATCAAATAACCAATGGCGAATTTTATAAGTAAACATAAGTACCATTGGCAGGTTAGTTAAATAGAAATTAAAAACAAAACAAAAACAGAATCCCTAAAGAAAGTCCAAAACGGAAATATTGAAAATGTTGCAAGCTCGGTTCAAATGAGTCTATTCACCGAGGGACGTGGCAATTATTGCAAGATTCTCTATAGCACCGGCTGAGGCAGAATTCAACATTTAACAAAATCTTTGTAAACTATTTCTGCTGCCCAACATCAAATCAGAAAAACGGAATGATTTTATAAATAGAATATTTGTATTAATAATTTAAGGCGGCCCGCCTCTAATTCGACCCGAAAGCATAAAATATACTTACATTCACAGTGTGTTCCGGTGAAGCCACTAATACAATTGCAAATGTAACCTTGGGCATTATTTGCTGGATCGCACGTGCCGTGATTAGAGCACGTGCTACTTGTACAGCTATGTGTTGTGGCAGCACTATTTCCTAAAATGGCAATGATTTAAAATTACATAATGTAACCGAATTCAGCTAAAGAACGAAAAGTGATAGTTATAGTTTTAGCAAAAAGGGCACGATTTGGATTGGTAAAACTTAAGGTTGCTAAATTCATTCGTACCAGCAAATTTCTTAAAACTGATCCGACTCAGTTTGACTGCGCATGCCCGTACATTTCTAATTACAGGTATATATGAAAGTCTATAATGTCTACCTTCTGTGTTAAAATACACGCACAAAAATGTATACTGGAGGATAATAAATATTGTCATCCAAAGATTAAGCTTCTTATTAAGTACATCTAATTAAAAAGAAATTTAATGTTAGTTGAAGGCATGACTCAATGCAAGCGGAAACGAATGAGGTGGTAAAAGGGCAACGCGAAATTCTTTGTTGTTTCCAACGATATGTCATTTTACTGTTTAGCGGAGATTTTGTCTTTTTCATGCTTTGATAATAAATCTTCTTATTACAATGCTGTAAATTTATAAAAATTATAAATTTATTCAAGAATGTTTTACCACAATACATAGGGATTTTCACACTGCAATACCAAAACCTAAATGCTTACATGGCACATTTGTGGCATGACAGTCTGAATATGAAACACCATTCGCTTTTGTGCTGTCCCGTGGAATAAAAAAAATAAAAATACGGAGTTAAAAATTTTTAAAACCGAAAAAAAACGTCGTTCTTAAAAAACTGGTGAGGTTATTCGTATCCTTCTTCATATACGTATCCCAAAATTTTTTTTTCATCACTTACTTTAATGTTCATTCTTATTCATCTTTACTAATCTCTCATGTTTTGCTGTATTATCACTTCACTTGTTCATTCATTCTGTCGTTCTTTATCACTAACTACATTGTTCTCATTATGTCGTTCTTTCTCCACTAACTACATTGTCCCCTCATGTTATCCTTTTATCACTAATCTGAAACCTCATGTTTCATCTTTTCACTTAAACATTGTGTCTTTTATTTATCGTTCCTTATCACTTTACTTACAGTGTCCTACATACTTTAGTTCTTTTTTCACTTGCTGACTGTTCTTCTGCTTTGACTCGTTCTTATAACAACTACGCTTTCCTTCATTTGCCTTTTAATTATCCATATATTCTCATGGTCGTTCTTTATCACGGCTTCTTCCTTTCATGTTGCCGTTCTTTATCACTTGCTTGCACTTTCTTCATGTTGCCGTTCTTTTAACCCAATACATTGGCTTCATTGTTGCCCGTCTTTATCACTTACTACATTGGTCCTTCATTTTGTCGTTCTATATCACTTAATACATCTGTCCTTCATGTTGCCGTTCTTTATCACTTACTTCATTGTCCTTCATGTTGCCGTTTCTTTATCACATACTACATTGTCCTTCATGTTGCCGTTCTTTATCACTTACTACATTGTCCTTCATGTTGCCGTTCTTTATCACTTACTACAGTGTCCTACATATTGTAGTTCTTTATCACTTGCTGCACTGTTCTTCATGCTGCCGTTCTTTATAACCAACTACATTGTCCTTCATGTTGCCGTTCTTTATCACTTACTACATTATCCTTCATGTTGTCGTTCTTTATCACCGGCTACATTGTCCTTCATGTTGCCGTTCTTTATCACTTACTTCATTGTCCTTCATGTTGCCGTTCTTTATCACTTGCTGCACTGTTCTTCATGTTGCGTTCTTTATAACCAACTACATTGTCCTTCATGTTGCCGTTCTTTATCACTTACTTCATTGTCCTTCATGTTGCCGTTCTTTATCACATACTACATTGTCCTTCATGTTGCCGTTCTTTATCACTTACTACATTGTCCTTCATGTTGCCGTTCTTTATCACTTACTACATTGTCCTACATGTTGCCGTTCTTTATCACTTGCTGCACTGTTCTTCATGTTGCCGTTCTTTATAACCAACTACATTGTCCTTCATGTTGTCGTTCTTTATCACTTACTACATTGTCCTTCATGTTGTCGTTCTTTATCACTTACTACATTGTCCCTCATGTTGTCGTTCTTCATCACTAACTACACTGTCCTTCATGTTGTCGTATAAGAATCTTACACCGGCTGCCAGTACAGACCGGAATATCTAGCTCGAGGGTAACTGTTTACAGATGTATCGAGGCTCTGCCGAGTTTCCGCTAAACACTTACCCGAGAGCTAGATATTCCCGTCTGTACCGACAGCCGGTGTTTGATTCTTTTTCTTGCATATTACATGTCAATTATATTCGGAACAGAAATTATGAAAACTGATATTCTCATTACGCACTTTTTTCTTATAGTAGCGTATGAACATACAATTTCATTCATAACAGAAAAATGACATCCTCTTAAGAACGCGATTCATTCATAAAAGGCGCGTGTCAATGACGTCATTTAAAGCACGCAACTTTTCTTACATGGGGGTATAAGACAGACTTTTCTAACACCGGTGTAAACGGTAGATAATCCTGTCTGAGTAGCAAGAATTCTTTATCACTAACTACATTGTCTACAGTGTCCCTCATGTTGCCGTTCTTTATCACTAACTACATTGTCCCTCATGTTGCCGTTCTTTATCACTAACTACATTGTCCCTCATGTTGCCGTTCTTTATCACTAACTACATTGTCCCTCATGTTGTCGTTCTTTATCACTAACTACATTGTCCCTCATGTTACCGTTTTTTATCACTAACTACATTGTCCCTCATGTAACCGTTTTTTATCACTTACTACATTGTCCCTCATGTTGCCGTTCTTTATCACTTACTATATTGTACCTCATGTTGCCGTTCTTTATCACTTACTATATTTCCAACATGTTGCCGTTCTTGATCACATAAAACATTTAACATTATGTTGTACATGTTGTATTAAAACAGCATTTACTACATTGTATAAATATGTTATCGTTCTTTATGACTACATGACAAGAGTTGTCGATCCTTATCATTTACTCTGAAGGGTTGTCGATCTTTATTACTACTTACCTAAAGTTGTTCTTCATCATTCCTTATTATTTCGAGTTGTTTTACTGTATTCTACCTACCTAAAGAGTCAGTCTTCAACCATGAGTACCTGCTTTCGTCTCCTCTTCCTTTTCTTCATTTGCCGTTTTTTAACATTATCGAACTAGTGTTGTCGTTCTTTGGAACATCGTCCTTAAAGATATTCTTGTTCCTGGCAAACAATCCTAAGTGATCGTTCTTAATCAGAAAAGATATTCAAACCTGTTATTGTTTACTTATTTTGAATTTAACTTGTTGTGGTTGTTGTTTTTTTTAAATGTCAGAGTCTCGACTTACCAGTTTGTTTTCCCGAGTTTAAAGTGCATTGGTCCATAATGGAAGGTCTGTTATACAATTTATTAATGATTACCTACCTTGATTATACCGAGTATCAGACATAACAACATACAATGAAATAATTGAGCCGCGTCACGACAAAACCAACATAATGGGTTTGCGACCAGCATGGATCCATTCTGTTCGCTTACAAACCCTATAGCAAGTAGAGAAACTGATAGCGAACAGCATGGATCCTGATGAGACTGCGCGGATGCGCAGGCTGGTCTGGATCCATGCTGGTCGCAAACGCACTATGTTGTTTTGTCGTGACGTTGCTCAATTGTACATGGTTGTTGTTGGCAAGTGAGAGATACATGATCTGATATGCATGTAACATATATTAATAAAGCAGTTAAAACAGTTCTGAAATAAAATATATATTTAATATAAATAGATAATCATATAAATTATTCATACTAAATAACTTACAACTTCATCAACATTTTTTCAAGCAATATATTATACAAAAATATCCAAATGATACATTTCTATTGTTGTTTGTACCAGTATTTCAAATATTTACGGAATAATCACTGTTGTACAGCGTTCACCGGAAATAACCCCTCATAACACCGGAAACGAAAGTAAAAAGGTGCACGCCCATTTCACCAATGGTAATGTTTCAACTTATTTTTCCATCATAACTTAATCGATTTTTTTAAACTAAACAATTTTGTGAAGCTGAATATGTCTGGTTATAGAGAAGTATTTGCTTTTTTCGGCAAATGTAATACTTTTGTTAAACTGGCGATAAATTGTAGCGTATTTGTTGACATTTGCGACCGATTTTGATAATACGTATCCTTTTTTGAAATTATTTTGAATATATTATTTTGTAAAAAACAAATGTACTTAATTTACTATCTTTATTTTGAAAAAAACAACAACATTATGTTAAAATTTAGATAATTTATACTTCTCATTCTCCGTTCCCTCTCCCATTTGTTACATATTTAAAATACATGTAGTATTGAATTGAACAATATGATCTCCTATTTTTGTTTATTTAGTTAGTCATAATTGTATTCTTTTATTGTGATATTAGTTGATTTTTGACTGTTTTTTTTTCTGTTCTTTTGTTTGCTATAACCAGTTGCATATTACATGCCTTGGTTTAATAAAAACTGAAACTGAAATCCTATTAATGTCTTAAAACCTATTGCACATTGTACGAAACGTGCTTATTTACTTTTGTTGGCAAAATGAAATTGTCTTTTGGTAAATTTGAGCAGTTGACGTTCTTAAACTGGTTTATTTTCAGAACATTTTGATAAAGGTCATTTAAATAATCGTACATCATTTTTATGCAGAAAAAAATAACAGATTTTTTTTTCAAATTATCTTTAATTTGCTTAAACCAGTACGGATTGTATTTAACTTTATTATTTACTTTTAAAGTGATAAACAGAAAGCATTTTTTAACACAAAAGATACTTACATTACGTTATAATTCATTATATGGGTGAAGATAACGAGCCAGCCAGTACAACAATACTTTAATTAGAAATTAGAGAAATTTATCTTAATTTAAAGCACATTATGCCTCAAAAATTGATAATCTTTAATTCTTTAAAAAAATTCAAACATTTGTTTAATAATGTTTTTATAATGGATTAAGAGCATTTAAGCTATCTAAAAAGTAAACAAAGTAGGGCTAAACGATAAGTAAAATGTCGCAAAGGTCGCAAAAATGTTGACATAGTAATATTTTGACTTCTATATAAAATACTAATTCACTATAATTATACCAGTTGCCAAGTGAACAAAAATAGCAAAAAAGGTGTATGCATATGGCAAACAAGTTTGTTTTCAGATACCAAAAAATAAAAAATAGACAATCAAAAAAACTTGATAGCATTTCTGATGTTTAATGGGCCTTTTAGTTTGAATAACGCAATACTTGAATGTCAAGAAATAATATCAATAATTCATATTACCGAATAGAATTAATCCGAAAAGAAATCTCAAAGAAAGAACAATCATTAAATTCGCCATGTCTGGTTCTAATAGATGACCTCAGTTATCGGGTCACCATTCACTGAATGTCCTCATTTAGGAACATTTGAAATATAGTTAATGAAATTAAAAACAAGCGGTATGAGAAAGGTCACAAGATAAAAAAAAACAAGGACAATTTATCAGTTATTTACAATATTGGCTAAATTATTAAATTATTTTATACTAGTACATGTGTATAGGTAAATATGTTTACTTCAAATCACTTGCCTCTCACCGCTGTGGGTTCGAATCCCGACAGGGACTTTGGATTCTTTCATGTGAGGAAGTTATCCAGCTAGCTTACGGAACGTCGGTGGTTCTACTCAGGTGTCCGTTCGTGCCTGATATAATGCACGGAAGGGCACCTGAGGTCTTCCTCCACCAGTAAAGCTGGAACGTCGCGATATGACCTATACTGCGTCGATGTGACGTAAAACCAAAAACAAAACAAAAAAAAAAACGTAAATATGTTTGTCTTTACCAAATGTTTGTTATACCAACGACCGAAATGTGCCGAACTTCGCCGAAATGATTCGAAAAATGCCGAACATTACCAAAGTTTTGCTGACGAAAAATAAAATTAGTTTTTATTACATTTGTACTTAATTTGTTGCAATACCAGCCCACTAACAACGTTAATTGTAGATTTTTTTTCGGCATTTTCCGTGTAGTGATCGGATAATTACTATAGTTTCTCGAATGATAATTTACATGTAGAGTTCAGCCAACTATCTATGCAACTCCTGTGCTTTATAAACACATTATCATTTATAAAATATTGTTGACATGTACGGTATTTTGCATTTCATAATACTACACATATGGAACGTCACAATCCATTGGATAATCAAGCTATAAACGAAGTCTTTTATAACGAATTGTAACGAATTTATTTACGCTACATTCCTGCTTTCTACGATACACGAGGCTATCTGATTTATACGTTGAGGCACCGGTAGGAAGTTAGCAGTAGCAGTGAGCAGTAGCAGTAGCAGTAGCAAATTTATAAAACGTGAAGTTGGCAGTAGCAGTAGCTCAGCAGTAGCAGTAGCAAATTTATAAAACGTGAAGTTGGCAGTAGCAGTAGCTCAGCAGTAGCAGTAGCAAAATTATAAAACGTGAAGTTGGCAGTAGCAGTAGCTCAGCAGTAGCAGTAGCAAAATTATAAAACGTGAAGTTGGCAGTAGCAGTAGGACAGCAGTAGCAGTAGCAAAATTATAAAACGTTGAAGTTGGCAGTAGCAGTAGCTCGCAGTAGCAGTAGCAAAATTATAAAACGTGAAGTTGCAGTAGCAGTAGCTCAGCAGTAGCACAGTAGCAAAATTATAAAAAACGTTGAAGTTTGGCAGTAGCAGTAGCTCGGCAGTAGCAGTAGCAAATTTATAAAATGTGAAAGTTGGCAGTAGCAGTAGGACAGCAGTAGCAGTAGCACAATTATAAACGTGAAATTGCAGTAGCAGTAGCTCCGCAGTAGCAGTAGCAAAATTATAAAACGTGAAATTGGCAGTAGCAGTAGCTCAGCAGTAGCAGTAGCAAAAGTATAAAACGTGAAGTTGCAGTAGCAGTAGCTCAGCAGTAGCAGTAGCAAAATTATAAAACGTGCAGTTGGCAGTAGCAGTAGCTCGGCAGTAGCAGTAGCAAAAATTATGAAAAACGTGAAGTAAAACG